GTCATTCTACAGCTGGAGAGTAATTTTTATAAGAGAGAGATTGAGAAATAGATAGGAAGAGACAAGCTTCATAGATACATGTACATGCAGTTATGTGTACAGTCAGTTCCATTACCTGTACATGTACATGTACTTCATTCTGTTGATATTCTATTATTGGAATACTTTAATGCTGTAGCTACCATAACTAATTAATGACATCATCATAAAATCATATAGTGACTGTGATATCATAATAGTATCTACCATTGGGTGGAACTAATCTTAGCTCTAGATATGAATATTGTGAACACATACATGTAAATGTAATGTACATATTTTTAAATGGAACTTCCACCCACTACTGCAGTGAATCATTATGTGTGCTTTGTTAAAGGTTAGTTAGTGTAGTGTTTGTACTGTAGACAAGATTCTGTCAACATTTCCAAGATGTCTTTCCTTTTATGGAAGTATATTTGGACTCTATTCAGGAAATATCAATATACACTGACTACTTGTGACAGGAACTGGTTATTTCCATCACATTAATATCTGTCTCTGAAACATGTTGCACTATGAAGATGCAATTTTTAACAAAAGTGATTCAACTAATAACTAGTAATTAAATACACAAGGACAATCTTGTGACTTCCCCTTACACAATAATTATTTAGATGAGAATGGGCAAACATTTTTCTTTATTTTAATAAAAAAATAATTCATTACAAACTAGCATGAAGGTTGCATGGTTGTACTAATAAATGTTGGTATAGATTTTTGTGTGCATTCAATCAAATAATCTATGTGTACATGTAGTTTGAATACTAAAATGTAATCTGCATGTGTCATTGTAATTTTGGGGAGATGCTACAGTTCACTTTTGCTCTGTACTTTTCTTATTCCTAAATTAATAATAGCAGTAATTCATTTGTTATAACTATACTTACTTATATAAGCTGCAATAGCTTTTTCTCCAGTGTTATCAACAGCATCAGCTAATTTGCTCCATGTTGCTTCAATATTCTCTTTCAGCCATAATGTCAGACAATTTTGAAGGCATCTTTTATTGTTCTTTGGATAATTGTCTTCAATTGTTTCTAACTTTGGATTTGACAGACCCAAGGACAATCCAAGCTGAAACCACTTGTTACTAGGAAAGTACCCATCATTCAGTGCATCTAATACTTCTCGCAAGTCACTAATTGTCAAGATATCTGAAGGAAGAGTAAAAATAATATTTTAATGCATGGATAAGCAACTACTTAGTATATGCCCAAAATATGGCATGCAAATCATAGTCAAATTTAATGACAACACTTACTTTCTTTATCTGCTGTAGTTAAATTAATATTAACTAGACCAGTGAATAAAAATCCAATAAGCATCAATAAAATAATCAAAGAAAAAAGACCAACTCCAGAAAAAAGATCTGCATAACAAAGAATAGATGATATTGTACACGTCATATAATTACAAACTTTTTACATTTTAAAAAGGACCGCTTATCTTTAAATTCTCCTTCAAACCACACTGATTCTCTTTGAGTGAGGGAGCGAGTACGTCTAACTTTGTGACAATGAACAGGATCAGAGCAAGTTTGCTTCTCAGCATCAACTTTAATGTAATGAACCTCATTGGAACTGGAAGACTCACACTCACAAATGTAGCGAACCTTTCTTAACGATGATTGAGCACTATCATGCCCATGATAACCATAAAGGGTGTTTTCTACTTCATCACAACATTTTTTTAGCAATTTTAATATATTTTGACAAACTGTTTTGAAAGGAACTAGATGCCTACTCTCAGGAACATATCTCAACACATCAGCTTGAATAGCTTCATTAATATCAGTGAGAACAAAATCATCAGAAGGATGACCATAAGAGAAGCAGACACGATTACGATAGATACTTTTTCTCTCAATTTTAGAGCGTAGCTTCATGGCAGTAGCTAATCGATCCAAAAAACCAGGAGTGGCAGGTGCTGCATAGACATTATCAAAATTGAGCTGAACACTGGAATTAGTAGCAATAGCAGTTGCTAAACGAGTGAAGAAGCCAGGAGGTACATACCCAGTGGAGAATGTAATGTGTACAGGTGAGGCTCTTAGCTTATAACCAGGTCGTACTTCATTAGGGTCACCTGTGTATCCTGGTAGCACTGCTGGAAGAAAATACTGCTTGAATCTGCTTTCATAAAGCTCAGTTTGAACTGGAACTGCAAGACGAAAATGAACTAAAAGTTCAATTATTCCCTCTGGACCAATACCACTTGACTGCCATACTTCTTTATAAAGTGGTTGAACAAGAATACCTTTATCTTGTAACAACTTCTGCCAATTTATTCCTTTTTCACAACCTTCCAGTGTGAACACCTTCCCAATGGTATCAACAAACCATTTTGGACTGAGAATGACTTTATTCTTTAGACCTTCTATTCGAGGATAGTAAAGCAGAACTCCCAGCTCATGGTAGAATTTCAATACTTCAGGAACATCAGCTGCTGGTATATGACATGCCACTCCAATGGCAATAGCATCAGATACACTAATGACACTCTGCTTTATCTCTTGAAGAACTTTGCGAAAGAGAACCCAATTGACAGGGGTTGGAACAACTAATGTATTGATAAAGCCATCAATAGCTTTACGTAATTCTGTAATGCTTGGATCTTCTTCTTCTCCCCTGCCTGAGGTTGTATTATCAATGATTAGCACATCTTTAATGAGATCTAAGAACTCTTTCTCCCTATACAGGGACTGGATTTGTCGCTTTACTTCTTTCTTGCTTTCTGAATTTAGCTTGTCACCACAAGTGCCAATACAATAGAGACTAGAAGAAGAGGCACCATCTTTGTTGTGCTTCATGAGGTGACTGTGTATTGTAGACATCCATTTGGCCATTAGATCACTCGTGCTTTCATTCACTACCTCACCAAACAGCACTTTACCATCAGGAGTATTCTGACGTGACTGCCATTTTTCCCTGAAATCCTTTGAAGCATCAAACAGGAGGAGAAACATTGTACGAGGAGTGAGGAAGGCTGGGAGAATCTCAAGGAACACTGGCTGACCACCACAATCCCATATATGAAGAAATGGCTATAAAAATTGGTAAAATTATGCTATTTTAACTAGTCAGGTACATGTCTTACTTGCACAACTGGTTCTATTTTCTGATAAGTGGAACCAGCTCTTTTAAGTATTGATTGGATGCGCCTCTCTACATTCATATCAGAAGCTACGGAACTAGTAGAAAATAATGCATCTGATTCATCATGAGAATATTGGGCACTCAATATAGAACCATGCATGTGTGAGGATGATCTAGAATGAAAGGATTTAAACAAACAAGCAATTTCTTCAATTTCATCTTCTTCTGTGGCTTCTCTCCATTTGTTTTCTTTCCTTGTTAGCCACTTATGTCCAAATGGTCGTACAGAGGATACATCAGATACAATGGTGCTTGTAGTATGAGGATTGAAAGGTTCTTCCATTAATGAACGCTTGAGACACGTCTTGCCAGTACCAGCTGATCCCAGTAACATAAGACGAGCATACGCTACATCAGCACTTCCTTGTTCTTTGAGAGCTCTCTCATAGGGACCTATAGTTACATGAACATGCATACACCAACAATATAATTGATATTATGTGTATTACATAGTGTATTATAAATTTTAAGCCATTTTTGATGAAGGACATTCTCTCTCTCTCTCTCTCTCTCCATAAACATCAATTAATACTAGCATAACAACTGGTAATATCTTATCATTCAGCAGTACATCATCATCCATTAAGAATCACTCATGGAAATGATTCTTTCATTAACATAAACACTCGCACACATTTGTCGATTATATCTTTTCAAACTTTAATAAAAATAATGATATATATTACCTTAAGGTTACTTTTAAATGCGGGTACTATTAATTGCGAATTTTGCGTTTGGGTTAAAAGTCGCAATTATTAATACGCGCAATTATTAATAATGACATCATGATGCCATATAACTATTAGTAATAATCACTTAATTGCAATTTTTAATACCAGCAAAATCTACCTCGTGCTAAATCACAAAATTTAGTACCTGCAATTAAAAGTCACTCTAAGGTAAATAGCCAAAAGACAGTCTTATTATTTCTATCACATCAATTCAGACTTATTATACATACACATACCTAATGTATACACTAAGTTACATGTCATGTAGTCAATACATGTACATGTATATACACATAACAAGGAAGAATGTAAAACATTAAGGGGCTCCACCCCCTAGCTATGCTTCCCAGTCATGCCCATACACATGTACATACAACAATACTTAACATCAGTGGGCTTCACCCAATCAATAAAATTTACTAATAATTGGAACATCTCACCTTCCTCTTTTTGTGGTGACTCAATAAATTCAGCTACAGTAACGTCTTTATCTTCTAGCTTTTTCAGTATCACTGGATCCTTGAGATCTCTCATGACATCATCAAGAACACATGGTAGTATAGCGTAAGTGATGATAACACAGTTCTTTCTGAATTGTTTAAGAAATGCGTAAGAAGACCATAAAAATTCACCAAAAATTTTGACCCAGGTATAAACACTAGTGAATAGCCCAGGCCTTTCAAGACGAAAGGAAATGTAAGGTAATCCAAGAGGAGCAGTAGGAGACAGGTCTGATTTTCTTTCAAATAAAGGCATCAAATCTTGAAAGGAAGCTGAATTCAATAACTTGTCATATTCTTTTTCATATTCAAGAAAAAGCTCATTAATCTGATTATCATCTTCAACTAGTTTTGCTAGTTTCTTCAATAGCTTGTAGTTGAGGTAACCAATAAAATCATATTTGTTTAAAAAATCAAAAAAAGTTTCAATATCATTTGCTTCATCAAGAATATCAATGTAGGGCATCAACTCAGAAACAACATGAGCTTTTCTTTTAAAGCACGATTTTATCAACATTTTTGCATCCTTCACATCAATACCATGATATTTAAGTGATTTTTTTACTGCAAGAACAAGGAAATCGTACATTTCTTGCAGATTATTAGCAATTTCTTGTAGCTCAGGACATAGATCAATTTGTAACTCAAGATCATAAACACCTAAATACATAAGTTATAATAAATTATATGCATATATAAGCTACTCTCAGATACCATCTTTCCTTACCTGCATTAACAGTGGCCACTGGCTGAATTGGAGGACCTGTAAGACATAAATAAATGAAAGTAAATGTATAGAATCACTACCTTAAAACCGCTTATTTTTAAGTAGACAAATATTTGCAATTTGTTAATAGTATTGATTTAACGTGTGCTAATTTTTTTTTTTTTTGCGATTTTGCTCATTTCTTCAATTAATAACTATTAATAAACATAAATTATTAATAAAATGCGAGTACTAATTTTTTTGCGATTTTAAAGCCACTCGCAAAAAAAACGCAAAAATTAGTACTCGCAAATAATAGTGGCTTTAAGGTATTTCCTGATTGCAGCTGTTCTTATCATACTTAGAATAAAGCAAAATGACAGTTTTTGTTTTGGCAATTTTATTATTAATCTGCCAATTGCAAAAATAAAACTCCGTTAATTTTACCCACTATCACCAAAATTTAATCCACCAACACCAAAATTTTTCACTGAGAATGAATCCCATTACTATAATATGTCTTTATTTTAGGAGTGCTCAATACATGTTGACAGGCTCACCTTCACTGGTATGCAATGTTGGAGGTGTGGCTACCATCGGCTCACTTGTTGACAAAGGAACAGCTGGGACATTAACATTAACATGGTAGATTAACATTAATTATTTCTAATATTAAAAATTTAATACTTTGTATTTCTTCATTAATACCATCAGCTACAGCATTCTCTCCTATTCCTCTAACAGCAGCTATCAGTGTATCTATTGTTGGAGTCTCCACACCATCAGGTTTACGCAACCAGCTAGCCAAACACTGAGTAAAGCAAGAATGAACTCCTTTATGGTCTTTCTTTATTTCCTCTAGTGTATTGTGAGACAAGTTAAGACGTTGGCCAAGTCTTTCATATGATGTCTTGTTGAAGTGATGCCTCTCAAGTAACGCAATTACTTCATTGAGATCATCAATGTCTAACGTTACAAACGGTCATTGGATTAGTAAAATCATTTCTAGACTCACTCAAAGTCCTTCCACTCAGAATGATCCGAGGAATAGCCGAAGAAGTGGGTGTGGCCATCATAAAGGATGGGCGGAGGTCCCTCCCTGATAAAAATCATAAATATTAGAGTAAAGGAAAGGGATTGGAAACTTCCGTTTGCGGCTGGAAATGCTAGTTACAGTGAAACCTGCTTAATCCGGTCATCCTTGGGCCAGTTTTAAATGGCAGGTGGCTGCATTACAGATCAGCCTCTGTAATATAGCCATTTAGTACGGGATTTTGGCTTATGGCTGTAATAGAGAGGTGGCCTCATTATTCAGGTGACCTTTAGGACAGGTTTCACTGTACCAATACCATATTAATTTAATCCAATTTTCTCTAATTAAGCGTAGATCTATGTAAAATTGAAAATGGCTGCAGAAGTGAAGCAGGTAGGCATACATTTCATCAGTTTTTGGTTGCATATTGTCTTATTTTGTGCAGGTAAACCTTCAGTAATGTAGAGGAACAGTCTTTCTACTTGCTCAAGTAGTCTGCAGCTCTGCTGTGGCAATTATTATGTTTGCAGTTTGAATTCGTTGCTGATCAGCATTGGCAATTATTATTCATCATATTACATGTTTAATTATATATTTTCTGTAATTTATAACCTATCTGATAGAGAGTGTGCCAGTGACCTCCGGTATGTTCTAAGCATTAGAATAGTGTGATACTTAATGTGATAGACCATTTAGTTTTTAAGTTAAGGGTACAA